GAGTAATATTACATTACACACGCACACACACACACACACACACACACACCTCTTCTTTATCCATTCATCAGTTGATGGACACTTGTGTTGCTTCCATAATTTGGCTATTGTAGCTAATGCCGCTAAAAACACTGGGGTGCATGTATCTCTTTGAGTTAGTATTTTTGTATATTCTTTGAGTAAATACCTAGTAGTGTAATTGCTGGATCATAGGGTAGTTCTATTTATAACTCTTTTGAGGGCTCTCCATACTGTTTTCCACAGTGACTGCAAAGTTAGCATTCCCACCAACAATGCAAGTGAGTTCCCCTCTCCCCACATCTTCACCAATGCCTGTTGTTTCTTGTGTTGATGAACTACAAAAGACCCCGAATGGCCAAAGTGACCTTGAAAAAGAAAAGCACAGCTGGAGGCACCAAAATTACAGACTTCAAGTTATATTATAAAGCTGTAGTGATCAATACAGTATGGTACTGGCACAAAAGCAGACACGTAGACAATGGGACAGAATAGAAAACCCAGAAACAGACCCACAACCTGTGGTCAGTCTTTGACACAGCAGGAAAGAAAATGCAATGGGAATGAGAGAGTCTCTTCAACAAACGTTGCTGTGAAAACTGGACAGCAACATGCTAAAGAATGAAACTGGGCCACTTTCTTACACCACATGCAAAAGTAAATTCAAAATTGATGAGAGACCGATAAGTGAGACAGGAAACCATCAAAATCACAGAGGAGAACCCAGAGAGTAATGTCCTTTGACATCAGCCTTGGCAACTTCTTTCTAGATGTGTCTCCTGAGGCAAGGGAGACAAAAGCGGAAATAAACTATTATGACTTCATTAAAAAAAAAAAAGGTAAGTGTCCCCTTAATCTCCTTTATCTTTCTCACCCATCCCCCTGCACAACTCTTCTGAGGAAGCCATCATTTATTCTCTATATTTCAAGAGTCTGTTTCTTTTGTCTCTTTTTTTTTCTGTTTTGTTTTGTTTTTTATTTTTTTTAATTTTTTTAATTTTTTTTAAATTTTTTTTTAATTTTTTTTAACGTTTATTTATTTTTGAGACAGAGAGAGACAGAGCATGAATGGAGGAGGGTCAGAGAGAGAGGGAGACACAGAATCCAACTCCAGGCTCTGAGCGGTCAGCACAGAGCCCAATGTGGGGCTCGAACTCACGGACCGCGAGATCATGACCTGAGCTGAAGTCGGACGCTCAACCGACTGAGCCACCCAGGCGCCCCTTGTTTTGTTTTTTAAATTCTACTTATCAGTGAGATCATGTGGTATTTGTCTTTCTGACTGGCTTATATCAATTAGCCTTATACCTTCTAGGTCCATCTGTGAAAATGACATGATCTCAATCTTTTTTTGTAAATGAGTAATACTCCATTGTATACTATATACCACATCCTCTTTATCCATTCATCTATTGATGGACACTGGGGTTGTTTGCATATCTCAGCTATTATAAATAATGCTGCAAAAAACACAAGGGTGCATATATCTTTTCCTATTAATATTTATGTTTTCTTTGGGTGAATATCCAGTAGTGCAGTTAGAGGATCATATGTTAGTTCTATTTTTAATCAATATTTCATTCCACGAGGGCTCACCAATATACATTTTCACCAACAGTACACAAGGGTTTCAATTTCTCCCACCATCACTAATCTTTCTATCTTACTGTAAGTTGATTAGCAATCCTGTTCAATCTGCCACCTTAATTCTCCCTCGCTGTAAAAAATAACATGTTGATAGGTTCCTGGGGATTAGGGTGTGCACATATTTGAGAGGCCCTAATTTTGCTTTCTAAAAATTGTTTTCAGAAGTGTATTAATTTGTGTCACCCAAGGATCTGTATATGAAAGAAGCAAACACAATTTACACAGCCTCTAAAATGAGTGGGTACATTATTCCCTCAAAATGAGACGCAATGATGATCTTTGGTGTGGAAGACCTAAAACTTCCTATGCCTATCTCTAACACAGGATCCCAGGCTTGCTCATCAAAGAGTGGTCTATAGACCAGGATTCATGCATCAATGTCACCTAGAAGCTTGTTCTAAAGGCAGAATCTCTGGGCCACCGGGACTTGTGATTCAGCTCCTGCATTTGTAGTGGGATCGTGTAGAATCATGGACACCTTGCAGACAAGGTGAAGTTGGAGAAGTGTTGGTCTAGAATAGGTGTTCTCACTTATTAACTTTGACATCTGGGACAGCATAATTCTATTTGTGGAGGGTGTTTTCTTATGGACGTAGGTGTTGAGAGCATCAGGCATTACCAGCCATGCCCAGGGGAAAATTCATTTCTGGTTGAGAACCACTGTCCCCAAGCTTGAGAACTAGAAGCATCCTGACAGAATCACACTCATGGCCCATCGTGTACTTGAGCAACGACTTCGGGCAGATCGCTAGATGCCACCAAGCGCTATTCCTGCATGGAGAAGGGAGTTTAGAAATGTTGCTCCTCAGGGATAACATGTTTACAGAAAACTGAATCAAATAATCCCCATAAGGTGCTCAGTACAGGTGATAGCACATACAAAGACCTAAGAATATATCTTATAATTAACAAACACTTTGTAAGTGGGCCCGAGGGACAGCTTTTAGCTTGAGATAAAGTAAGAAATTCCTAACTGTAATGGCAAATGTATCTTGAACCCAGTGTGCGTAGTGCCCAAGGTTTATTATCAGAAGAACCAAGTTCTCCACCTCATTTAAAAGAAGAATAAACATGTCTGGAGATCGCTGGGTCCCCACCACAAGTCAGTGCCTTGAAGATAAAGAGACCTAGCCCCAGCGGGTTCCTCAGTCTTAGATCTGGAGGAAACTATAACTGGGAGCTGAGATAAGGTGCTAGCAGATTATCAGGAAGGAGGCAAGTTCAAAGAAAAGGAGTAAAAAAAAATCCACCTGGATTCACTACTTTTTTTTTTTAAATTTTTTTTTCAACGTTTATTTATTTTTGGGACAGAGAGAGACAGAGCATGAACGGGCGAGGGGCAGAGAGAGAGGGAGACACAGAATCGGAAACAGGCTCCAGGCTCTGAGCCATCAGCCCAGAGCCCGACACGGGGCTCGAACTCACGGACCGCGAGATCGTGACCTGGCTGAAGTCGGACGCTTAACCGACTGTGCCACCCAGGCGCCCCTGGATTCACTACTTCTAAAGGAGTCTCTTGGGAACAGGTTCCTTCGAGAAATTTTCTTTGGGCACAAAAGAATTTTCCACTTGGAGCCATGCTGGAGTTAGAAGAGGGAAAATGTGTCTAATGAGCAGATACAGGGAGTTATATATAAGGCCGGTCTCCTGTCTGTCAGCCTGTGCGACCTTGGATGGGAAGGGGCTGGTCTTTGTCTGTTTGCTCTGAGTCCTGATTCTGGCTGGGGGCTGATGCTTCCCTCCTTCCTGCTGTCTTGGCTGAAGACAGAGCTTTTGTCCCTATTATCTGCCATCCAGGGAGGAAATCAGATTTCCACAAGGAGACCTTTTCATCACACGCCCCAGCCAGGTGAGTTCAGTACCGCGGTGGGTCGTGGACGAGAGTGTCAGAGGGAATGGAAGCCGTACGTTGACCTGTCATCACCTGAGAGCCAACCTAACTTAGTCCAGAGCAGTGATCACTGTGTGAATTTATTCACTTGATTAAGTAATTAATGTATTTATTCAGTGGCTCTCTTAGTTTCACAGAATGACTGCTGCTCACACTTTGATGGTCTTTCATCTTCTTTATAACTAAATTGCTTTTAAAGCAATGGCTTGTTCTTTCTCTTAGTCTCTCAGGGACCACCTGGTCTTGTGAGATCCTTGCTCCTCTTGGTCCATTTCATTCCCCGCTCTCTCTCTCACTCTCTGTCTCTGTTTACTGAAGAGGCTTTTTTATGTTTGTGTAAATCACAGCAGAAAATTCCCATCCCAATATGGATCTTCAACTTCATTTGTCCATGGGAAGCTTAAGAATTAGCATTTCTGGGAACCATTTCTACACTTTGCAGGGGAAAGATGGCTGATCGGGTCTCCTTGGGTTGTATCCATTCCCAGCATAACCAGGAATGTGGGGGCTGTGAGGACAGGGAAATTCACAACCCAGAAGACCACGGTGTCTTGTGCGTGTGTGACTTGTAGAGGGTGAGCAGTCCTCACAACAGGGGCCAGGACTCCTCAATCCAAGGTGACACCATACACGGGCCAGAACTCAGTCAAGAGCAGGCACCAAGACGGGGATCTGTGTCAATTCATGGGATGGCTTTGCAGCACGATGAATACCGAGGGAGGGGCAGTGTGGCCAAGGATGGCCCTGTGCCTGGAGGTCACAGCTGTCGCAGAGAGGCCACATCCCTCCTTACATGTGTGACAGAGTCTGTCATCACTGCCCCTCAAGATCATTCCCCTTGCAGTGCTGGCTTTGCTTTTTCACTTGAACATTTGAAACAAGTACCTTCCTCAGGGCCTTTGCACTGGCCATTCCCTCTGCTGGCACACACTTCCCCTATAATCCTGCATCTACCTTTCTGTCTTACATGATGTCTGTGTTCCAATGTCACCTTAGAATTTCCCTAAATACTAATGAAAATAAAATCCTTATCACTCTGTCCTTCATACCACCTGACACTATATGAAATGCTGTTTATTTTATTTATTTTTATTATTTGCTCCATCATTGAATTGACTTTTGTTCTTCAGCACACTCTACTCCTTGCCTAGACCATGCTTAAAACATGGTCAGCACTCAATTTATATTCCTGAAATTTGGAGGGATTTCTCACTAAAACTGTAGAATCCATGACCCATTAGAAAAAAGTGTTGGAAGAAAAAAACGAATAACTAAGATGACACGGGGAAATCCTCTAAAGAGGGTTGTATACCTACACAAAATATTAAAATAAATTTCTGGAGTACAAAACATAAAACGCAGCATTTCAGATCTGGGAGTAGTGCAAGTTTGTGTGAAAATTAGTCATGTTATTCCCCTCTTTCCTAGAAGTCCCCTCCAGCACATGGAACCGAGAAACGGTACACAAATTTCAGAGTTTTACCTTCTGGGATATTCAAAGGAACCAGAGCTGCAGCCCCTCACATTTGGGCTTTTCCTCTCCATGTACCTGATCACTGTCTTTGGAAATCTGCTCATCATCCTGGTTGTTGGCTCTGACTCCCACCTCCACACCCCCATGTACTTCTTCCTGGCCAACCTGTCCTTTGTAGACATCTGCTTCACCTCCACCACCGTCCCGAAGATGCTCTGGAACATCCAGACCCAGACCAAAGTCATAACCTATGAGGACTGCATCACCCAGATTTATTTTTTCATACTCTTTGCTGTGATGGATGTCTTTCTCCTGAGTGTGATGGCCTATGACAGGTTTGTGGCCATCTGTCACCCCCTGCACTACACGATCATCATGAACCCCCGGCTCTGTGGACTGCTGGTTCTGGTTTCCTGGATCACGAGTGTCCTGCATTCCTTGTTACAAACCTTAATGGTGTTGGGGCTGTCCTTCTGTACAACCTTGGAAATCTCCCACTTTTTCTGTGAACTCAATCAGATGATCCAACTTGCCTGTTCTGATACCTTTCTTAATAATTTGGTGATGTATTTTGCAGCTGTCCTCTTGGCTGGTGGTCCTTTTGCTGGGGTCCTTTACTCTTATTCTAAGATAGTTTCCTGCATACATGGAATCTCATCAGCTCGGAGCAAGTATAAAGTGTTTTCTACCTGTGTGTCTCACCTCTTGGTTGTCTCCTTATTTTTTTGTACGGGCCTCAGAGTGTACCTCAGCTCTGCTGCTACCCAGAGCTCCCACTCAAGTGCCACAGCCTCAGTGATGTGCATGGTGGTCACGCCCATGCTGAACCCCTTCATCTACAGCCTGAGGAACAAAGACATAAAGAGGGCTCTGAAGAGAATCGTTGGGGTTCCAGCAATGTAAGGTCTAATCATTGTGGGGCTGAAGAAGTGCCCGTGATTGCAGGGCTCAAAGCTTCAGAGCCAAGAGCTGCTGTTCCTGGATCAGACGGTGGAAGCAAATTTCTGCTCCTTCTATTTATTTCCTGGAATTTCCATTTGTTTGTATTCAACTTGTCTGTACATTTACATAACTCACTTTATTAAGCTTTCTGCTGATACGTAGACAGTTTCTCCTTTGTCCATTTTCATTGGTCCCCAGTGTTTTCCCCAACCTTGGACCACAGATACCTAGAAATTTCTGTATCATACATTGGGCAAGTTGGATTTCCTAAAAACAATTTCTTTCAAATGACTTATATCACGCCAAGTAAACTCCCCTAGATTTTCCATGAGCGTCGTCATGAGTTATATTCTTCATATGGAATAAAGCTATGCCTGGCCAGTAAGCCCTCTCCATAATTTTATTGTAGATGAACACACAAACCACAGTTTCACCTTCAGACTGTCGATCATTTTATATCACAACCTGCATCATTCCTCCTGATGATGTGAACTCTAACAGTGTTCAGTTTCAGCCTCTGGCTATTGATACGGTGCTGTGGCTATTGAAAGCCCAGGCACTCACCTGTGCCCATGTACTTGTGGACATTCCCATGCACATTCCCTGGCAGCCTATGCTGTGACTGCACTGGCCCTTGGGTTCTTATTGTAAGCGCAAGAAACACCTCAGGAACACTCATCAGAGAACTCTAAAAATGCAACGTTTATTACTCAGGGATCCTGGAGAGCACGTGGGACACCCTAAGGCCATTTGGGGAGGTGTCAGTGGGAGAGGGAGACATTGACAGGGAGGGAGAGAGAGAAAGAGAGAGAGAGAGAGAGAGAGAGAGAGAGAGAGATAGCACTGCTGAGGCATCTGGTTTATTGAGGTCCATGGCCAGAGTGACTAGGGTTTTGTGTCTCACACCTTAGTGGACAATTATATATGAGTAGATTTTGACTACTGAAGGGGAAAAGCAGGTTGATTCATGGGAAGTTATTTGAGTTCGCCAGGGCTTTCTAAACAGGTACTTCATGGCTGGGGCAGTCTAAGTAATTGTATCACACACCTGACAGTATATTTATTCAACATGGTGGTCTTTGAAATGGATGCCTCAGAAATCAAAAGCTCAATTTCAGGCACTTACTCTTACCATGCTACTGTATTTCATAACCGGTCTTCTGGTTTATTCTGTTATTCAGCTCGGTGTCCAGAGAGCCTACCATAGCCACTGGCAAACTCCCAGTCGAGTCTTCGGGGAAAGACACACTTGAATAAACAGATCAACCTGTTATTTTCTTAGTGTCAGGATGACATAAATATGAGGCCAAATTTCAGAACACGCATTTTGTTACTAAACAAAATTTTCTTTTCTTTTATTTTTTTCCTTTTCTCTTTTCTTTTTTTCTTTTTTCTCTTCTTTTTTTTTTCTTCCCTTCCCTTCCCTTCCCTTCCCTTCCCTTCCCTTCCTTTCCTTTCCTTTACCATCAGAGTTCATGCTGTGCATCTATGTATTGAAGATTCGTGTCCACAACTCAGGGGGCTTATTCATTGAGGTACAGGATTGCTTAATGTCTTCTATGTTTTATCACTGAATTCTCTTCCTGTTCCTACTTGAGAACTTCCAATGTTACTTGCTAATGTGACTCTTTATGGTGTTACATGAAATAACTTTTCTTAATATATGTCATAAATGCTAAGGGATCCAAATGAACACCATCAACATCATCCATTTCGTACCTCCATCTTGCCCTGAAATCTCTCCCACCTGCATGACCAGAGGATGCTTCACACGAGAGCTGGATGTCCTGCTGGCGTGTGGCTCAGGGTCCCCAGTTCTTCTGCACAAATGTGCATGTCCTTCAAACTCTCCCAGTAACCCTGAGGGGAGCCCACATGTAGTCACTTGTTCATAAAGTCATGGGAAGTAAACTTGCATCTCAGGATGATCATGGCTGCTCTCCTTGATTGTCAAATCATATGTCACAAATAAAAAGCAGCACATGTTCTGATCACCTCAGTCTGTTCACTTGGATTATTGTGTCAGTCAGCTATTGCTATATAACAGGCTGTCCTCCTCGTCAAACAGGATATCATGATGATGCGAGGTCACCAAGCACAATGGTGAAGAAAGAATTCTTGAGACATTTTATGGTGCAAAAATATGCTTTTATTATAGCTTGTGGACAGAATCTGTGGGCGGAAAGAGCTACACTTGGAATGTGAAGAGTGACTGATGATATACTTTTAAGTTTGTGGAGAGGGGGAGTAGAGATAAGGAAGTTTCTAAGGAATTTCTGTAAGCTGAAAGTGAGGTTGACAGAACCTTGGTGGTCTGGCTCTTTTCAAGATAAGGTTGCTGTCAATCTCTAATAAAACATAAACATGAAGGCAGCCATGAGTTCCTGTAGAAGTGTCACACTTTACATGTCTTATGGATTTATCAGTGGGCTGCAAGTTGACATTGACTTTTAGCTACATTTCTCTTGCTTTTGTTCTTCTCATCAATAATAGCTTTACAGTCAAACGGCATTATATTCTTGGAAGCATTTCTGAACTCTGCTGGGCTCCTTATAAGTCTAGAGTCGGGTGTGAATCTCTCTGTTGTGTTTCTAAGGCTCATCCATGATGCTGTGTGTGGTTGTAGTGCTCTTCTGTCTTCAACCAATTTATAATCTTATTACTAAATTTTTATTTTTATTTTTATTTTTATTTTTTTAAATGTGAAATTTATTGTCAAAGTGGTTTCCATACAACACCCAGTGCTCATCCCAAAAGGTGCCCTCCTCAATGCCCACCCCCACCCACCCTCCCTCCTACCCCCCATCAACCCTCAGTTTATTCTCCGTTTTTAAGAGTCTCTTATGGTTTGCCTCCCTCCTGCTCTAACTTTTTCCCCCCTTCCCCTCCCCCATAGTCTTCTGTTAAGTTTCTCAGGATCCATATAAGAGTGAAAACATATGGTGTCTGTCTTTCTCTGTATGACTTATTTCACTTAGCATAACACTCTCCAGTTCCATCCATGTTGCTACAAAAGACCATATTTCATTCTTTCTCATTGCCATGTAGTATTCCATTGTGTGTATATTTACTACATTTTTATATGTAAGTTATTCTTCTATTTATAAATTAAGTGAAATTATCATGTGTATTCTTGTTTTTAATTTAATTTTTTATTTTTTTTTAATTTACATCCAAATTAGTATATAGTGCAACAATGATTTCAGGAGTAGATTCCTTAGTGCCCCTTACCCATTTAGTCCATCCCCCCTCCTGTGACTCCTCCATTAACCCTCAGATTGTTCTCCACATTTATGAGTCTCTTCTGTTTTGTCCCCCTCCCTGTTTTTATATTATTTTTGTTTCCTTTCCCTTATGTTCATCTGTTTTGTCTCTTAAAGTCCTCCTAAGAGTGAAGTCATATGATTTTTGTCTTTCTCTGACTAATTTCACTTAGCATAGTACCCTCTAGTTCCATCCATGTAGTTGCAAATGGCAAGATTTTGTTCTTTTTGATTGCCAAGTAATACTCCATTGTGTATATATATATATATATATATATATATATATATACCACATTTTTTTATCCATTTATCCATCAATGGACATTTGGGCTCTTTCCATACTTTGGCTGTTGTTGATAGTGTTGCTACAAACCTGGGGGTTCATGTGCCCCTTCGAAACAGCACACCTGTATCCCTTGGATAAATGCCTGGTAGTGCAATTGCTGGGTTGTAGGGTAGTTCTATTTGGTTTTTTGAGGAGCCTCCAGACTGTTTTCCAGAGTGGCTGCACCAGCTTGCATTCCCAATCATGTGTATTCTTTGAATTTAATTCCACTGCCTTAACACTTGTTTTCCTTCCCTGTTAGAAGCTATCTCCCAAACCTGTAATGGACAGCTTCTGTGCTCTCAATCTTACCCATAGCCCTGTACCATAGAGATTTTCCCTATTAATTAAATTATTAGCATATAATGACGCTCAATAATCTGTGTTAAAGTATACAGCTAAACATAACTTCCTATGAATCTTGTAAGGCAAGAATGAAATGCATGGAAATTAATTTTTTACTCCAAAGAAAACGTTGAAGTGTAGTGGTTGTGTCTTATGTGTTTGTGAGCATATACTTTTTTTTTTCAAGTAAGCTCAATCAGATGTGTACACCCACATATGATTTATAATTTTATCTTTTAAGTTGAAAGAAGACTTGAGAGAAAGTCCGAGAGGATAGAGAAAATAATGGATGCTTGAATAAACATAAGATAAAAGGATGCAGAAATAAAGGCAAAAGTTTCCATTGCAATGGGTGACCTCAATTTTTGTTTTTAAATGTGTTTAATTCAAGCTAGTTAACATGCAGTGTAGTCTTGGTTTCAGGAGTAGAACCCAGTGATTCATCACTTATATATAACACCCAGTGCTCATCCCCAAAAGTGCCCTCCTTGATACATATCACCCATCTAACCCACCCCCCATCCACCTCCCCTCTAGCAACTTTCAGTTTGTTCTCTGTCTTTAAGTCTCTTATGGTTTGCCTCCTTCCCTATTTTTATGTTATTTTTCCTTCCCTTCCCCTATGATCATATTTTTTTTATAATTTATTGTCAAATTGGTTTCCATACAACACCCAGTGCTCATCCCAACAGGTGCCCTCCTCAATGCCCATCACCCACTTTCCCCTCTCCACACCCCCCATCGACCTTCAGTTTGTTCTCAGTATTTAAGAGTCTCTTAGAGTTTTCCTCCCCCCAGATGGCTATCCAGGGGAATTCTACCAAACATTAAAAAAGGGTTAACACCTATTCTTTTGAAGCTGTTCCAAAAAATAGAAATGGAAGGAAAACTTCCAAACTCATTCTATGAGGCCAGCATTACCTTGGTTCCAAAACCAGATGAAGAACCCACTAAAAAGGAGATTTACATACCAATCTCCCTGATGAACATGGATACAAAAACTCCCGATAAAATACTAACAAACCAAA